GGATACACATGATGTGCAATTACAGCTTATTGCAGAGCAAGACAATGTGATGTTGCATGTATGTCTGCAGCTGCGTTTCTATAGATGTAAGCTAGCTGTTACACACAGGTGCGTATCTAAATGTGGTTAGATTTGTTCTTGTGTGCGCAAATAGTATATATATACATCACAGCGTTCGTGAGTGTGTATTTTGTATGCGTATTGTTACATGTAGTTCTGCGTGTGCATGCATGCACGCGCATGCAAACGAAGGCTCAGTCATATGCACGCGTGTGCTGTTAAACATGAACACGTGCAGGTATGCGTACTCGGGCACGACTTGCACTCTCATACGTGTGTGTAAGGGTAAGTGCGTATGCATGCTCATACCCGTACAAACATATACACGTACACATGCCTATACATGCATAGCGTGTATCCGTGTACGTGTACGTGATGATGGGTGAGCGCGTGCGCGTGGATATGTTTGCATGTATGCGTACACGTGTTTCACAAGTATGTGTGTATGTTAGCGTGTATGGGCAACCATACGAACTGCGAGGTTCATGTGTGTGCGTGCGGCGTTCATGTATAGGGGCCCGTAAGTGTATATGCACACGGCGTGCCAATGCATGCACAGTACATGCCCATGTCTGTCTATGCACATACATGCACATGTACATGCACATGCGTATGCACACGTGTATGCATATTCACGTATGTATGCACATACGTCGTGAAGAGTTGTTCCCTTGCAAATCCCTCCACCTCGGCTCCTCCACCCATCGTCCCTCCTTGGTGGCCCGTCCGACCCCCTCCCTCCCTCCCCGCACCTCTGGGAAGGGGCGGAGGCGGGAGGGGGCGGTGGTGATTGTTGGGAGATTTTTTTTCTACCATGCTAAGGCGCCTTTAGCTTCGGCCAGTCGGCCTGCGTGCGAAGCCTGGTGAAGACAAGCTCGCCCTGCAGCTTGTGGGCGAGCTTATGCGAGCGGTACCACTGCTTAATGTCGGCCACAAGCCCTTGCATGTGTGATTCCCTGTTCGGGCCCCATTGCCCACGCACCATGATTTCGACGAGCACGTTTGCTATTAGGTGGCTGGACACGCCCAGGTCCAAACAATGGAGAATATCTACCATGATGCCCTCAAACCTGAAAGATATGATCTTGAAGAAGTTACTGAGACGCCTGCCGCCACGTCGACAGCCCAACAGGTGACTGTTATGCGTGACAAGTGTTGCTCTCCAGCCCGCCCCAAGATCAGCCCGAGAGAAGCACATGTCGCCTCCTGCGAGGGTCGCACCGCACAAGTAGCAGCACTCCGCGCTGTTCCACCTGTTGAGGTGCAAGAAATCCGAGTAGTACTCCCAATCACCTCGCATCTGAATGGTAGCGAAGGTTCTCCCATAGCACAACGTTCTGCCTGCCTCTGGGTGAGGCACGCCGTTGTGCTGAAGAGCGGGCATCACGCCTTTGAACAATGCGTTGAAACTCCAGGCAATGCGATCCACCATCTGCTCGAACATGTCTAAGTCGAGATCCGACTTCTTGAATACTGTGACGATATCTCTCGTAGCAATCGTGTCGCCATGGCCTAACAGGCTATTGAACTGAAGCGTGAACAGGCCGTCGGCTTTCGACGTCGGGGCAGCATCGCCATGTAGGCCCAAAGGTACAGTAGTGGACGATATACGCGAAGCATTGCACTTGTAGGTCGGGTGATCCCGAAGGGCGTGCCAGAATTGGGCGGTCTCGCCATCTTCTCCAGTGATCCGTTGTTTGAACACCAAAGGGCCCTTACGGTACCATGCCTCCAACGTATCGATCGGGTCGACGAACGGGTGGAAGATCACGTCGCCGTTGGTGTTCTTCAGCTCTGCCCAGCTGATCTGCGGTGCTCGAGCTGGCGTGCCAATGGCGCGACACACTGCCCTGAACGCGTGCTTGGATTGCAGGTTGGATGTGCCAGCGTAAGCGCCGATGTTCTGCGCTCCCTGGGAGGCCGCGGCCTTGGCGAACTTGATCACGTCAGGGCTGCTGATGGATCCCATGGCCCATCTCCTCCGCAAGAGGTCTGTGAATTCACGAGCGTCTCCTCCGCAAGGCGTCGCACCCTCAAGGTCTTCGACGCGGCGCCTGATGCCCCTGCCCTCGGCGGGCGCAGCGCTGCTGGCCTCCTCGTTGCACCGCTGAGGCGCCATCCGCTTGCGAAGCCCACCGTGCGCCTCGGGAACTCTTGGGACGCCATCTGCATGGCAAGGCTCAGGCACCAACCTCTGGCGGATGCCGTGGCCTCGTGGAGGCATGAGTAAGCACACGGTGAATAGAAGCATCTGGGCGCATAGTCCACCCAGCGCCGACGGCGCTGGGGTTTGAGCCAAAAAGGCTGCAGGGTAAAGCGGGGGAGGAAGGGGACGGGAGAGGGACAGAGGGAGCAGCAATGACGTTCTGCATGTGTTCCAGTTTGCGAAAAGCCGTGGCTCGAGGGGCGGGGGGTGGGCGGGTGGGCAGGGTAACCATTTTGCATTGCCCCCCTGCTTGCCCCTCGCCCTCACGAGTGCACTCTCTCTCGTGGGTAGCTCTTTAAGTCAGTCAGCCCAGTCACTCAGTCAGTCCAATCAGTCAGTCAGTCCAGTCAGTCAGTCTACTCGTTGATGCATCAACCAGGCAGTTCTTTTAGCCACCATTAGATGTATACTCAGTAAGTCCAGTTAGTCAGCCCAGCCAGTCCACCAGCCAGTCAGTCCAGTCCATCAGCCAGTTAAGCCAGTCAGTCCAGTCAGTCCAGTCAGCCAGTCAGTCAGTCCAGTCGGTCAGTCCAGTCGCTGATGCATCAACCAGCCAGTCCAGTCAGTCACCGTCGGGTGCCTACTCACTCAGCCAATCCAGTCAGTCCAGTCAGTCCATCAGCCAGTCAACCCAGTCAGTCAGTCCAGTCAGTCCAGTCGGTCACGAGTTTGATGATGTTGTGGATGATGATCACAGTTGATAATCTCTCTACGCTCGCTCGCCGCCCCGTCCAGCGAGCACGCCGACGCATTGCCATGTGTCCCTGCACCTGGCTATCACCCCCGTCTGTGTGACTGGCCGTCGAGACGGGCCGAAACGCATGCAGGACATCAGATCTTCTGCTTTTTCTGCTGGCTCTCCTTCGGGTTGAACTTATTGAACCACTCGACAGAAGAGTTCAGCGCATCGAAGGCCGTGTCGACTTTCATGCTCAGTGCCAACATCGTGGCCTCGTCCGCCCCCTGCAAGACGGCGTCTTCGACCGACACAAAGATCTGCGTCATCTCCTTGACGTTGTTGGCGATCTCCTTGTTGAGCTCCCCTAGGAACTTCCCGCCCTTCGAGTCGATGAACATCTGCTTGGCGATCGTCAACGCTTTCCCGATGTTGAACACTACCTTCTTCCCGTCCGTCTTCAGTGCCTTGAAGGTCGCGCTCTCCTCGGGCTTCACCTCCGTTGGCTCGCCTTCCTCCTGCTTCACAGCGACCAAGCCCGCACCCGCAGCCGAACTTCCAGCGTTGCATGCCCTCATGGATGCGAATGATGCCTCCGCTTCCATCTGCCTCTCCTCGGTGTCAAGGTCAGCCTCGGTGCCGAGCTCGTGCGTGTCCCGCTCCTCGTCGCCCTCCTCGCGGCTGTCCAGGTTGACGGCGTACTCCCTGCTCCACGGCCCGTCCTTCCCAGTGTCGCGATCGGGGCGCCATTTGGTTGGGTCCTTGTCGAAAACCTCTGCCTTCTCCTTCGCCTTCTGCTCTCCGAATTCCGAAATCATTTTGTTGAGGCTCCACCACACGACCTTGATCGTGTTCTTCTTGAGAAGGGTGACCGACTTCTTGGACTTCGCCGTGCCTCCACTCTTGAGCTTATCTGCGAACCATGTTTGGAAGTACTCACGCCTTTTTCCAATCGGCCACCCGTCGTACGTCTTCTTCGCCCCGTTCGTCTCGAGCCAGTGCACCATGGACGCGCGAGCTCTCTTGGCCTCGTCGGCGTCCTTGAGGAGATCCTTTGCCTTCTCGAGCTCGTCAGCTGACACCGTCGGCGCCTCCAACGTGCGCTTCTTCGGCGGCATCGGAGGTTCCCACGGAGCGGCTGGCCCCAGCACTGAGCGCGCTCTTGAGCCAAAGCGGCTACGGCCAAGGGGCCCTTCCCACGGGGGCCCCCTGGGCCCCTGGGGCCAACAAAAACCAGGTGAAAAAAAAACAGAAAAAAACAGAAAAAAAACAGTCTGTATTCCATCCCGGTTTTGTGCCGGCTAGGCGGCCCTGGGTACTCTAACGGACACAAACACAGGGTGAAAAACAGTCTGTTTTTTCTCTGTTTTTTCTGTTTTTTTTTGGTGTTTCTCCCGGGGGGCCGGGGCTCGGCGCGGGACGGATGGGGGAAGGAGGACACAGGGGGGGGGTGGGGAGGAGCTCGGGGAGCTCAGAGGGGGGGTGGACGGGAACGAAGAGGGGTAGGAGTAGGACGTGGGTGCAATCCGAAAGGGCACACCGTGTACGTGCGCTAGCAACGGTATGCGATCCCCAAACAGCGCTTGCATTCCCCAAACAGTGCTTGCGTTCCCCAGGCTGCTATATATCATCCCCATAACAGTGCTTGCACGTATTCCCCAAACAGCGAAACGGCATTATTCAAACAGTGCTTGCGTTTTTGCATGCTTGCCTAAGTGCCCTCGGCTGTTACTTCACCTCTGAGGTGCATAAGGTGCCTAAGGTGCCCAACCCTGCAACTGCTTCCATTCTCCAAACAGTGCTTGCACCTTGTAGCGGGCTCCCCAAACAGTTACGCTCCCCAAACATTGATTGCATTCACCAAACAGCGCTTGCACTCCCTAAAGCGCACAGCCGCAATGCTTTTCCAGACTGTAGTCTCCAAGCACTTTTTTCCCGAGCACGCGCTGCTGAAGAGCGACCGTCTGCCACGCGCGCTGAAGTATCCTCGCAGTGGTGCCTTCGCACCGCTGGGCGAGCCTTGTGACTCGACGACTTACTCATGGCACTCCTTGGCCACGATCACGGCTGGCCACTCGTCGAGGCTGGCGCTGCTGCTGGAGGCGAAGGCTCTCTGGACGAGGTGAAGGTGCTCTGTGGGTTCCAGGTGCTCTCGTCGACGACCTCCTCAAACATCTTGCGAACCACCTGTTTGGACGCGAACTTGATGTAGGCCTTCTTGTACTTGCGCTGGGCCATACCACCGCCCGACCTCATGTTAGCCTCATTGATGTCTAGCTGCGACCGTGGATTGCGCAACGCCCTGGAGAGACAGCCGATGTTGGGGAGAATCGAACGGCCATCTTCGCGAACTCCTTGAATTACTGCGTCCGAGTAGGCGTTCACGAACGAGAGGGCCTGCTTGTATTGGATCTTGAGAGACGTAGCAATTCTCTGGACGAAGGCACGCTTGTTGCCACGCTTAGGCTTCCTACCCATCTGGAGGGTGGAAGCTCTGGGGATCAGCTCGGTGGTGCTGGCTCGAGCCTAGATGTCTCCAGTTGTGGTGACGTGGGGTGCTGGTGATAGTGCAATGGTCACGCTGGCGATGGTGATGATGGTCATGATGCAGACGATGCTTTCACCCCCAAATGGGGGCTGAATTCCCTAAGCAATGCTTGCATGCCCAACACAATGAACAGACCCGTTCCAAACAGTGCTTGCACGTATGCGTTGTGCTCCTAGGGCGTCCTCGATTGAACGTTTTACTCCTAAAGCATCTTAGTCTTGATCGCCCAAGACGGTCCACCATTTCCTATGATCTCTTCTATCGACGGCTGCAGTCCCCAAGCAGTGCTTGCACCTTCGTGCACTTGTTGTAGTTCCCCCATCAGCGCTTGCACTCTCCAAGTAATGCGTTTGTTCCCGAACCAACGCTTGCATCCTCCGTGTAGTCCGATGCGTGGATGGTGATGATGATGCTGACGATGAAGACCATTGTGCACGCAACCGCGTCAGACCCGTCTACAGCGGGCTAGCGGCTAGAGTATCCTTGAGGTGGCGCCGTCGCGCCGCTGGACAAACCGAGAATGGCGGATCGCTCTCACTCGACCGAGTCCTCGACCTGCACGACCTCGTGATCCGCGACGGCCTGGCTCTCTTCTTGCAAGGTCTCTTGCAAGGTATCTACCTGCTCGAGCGCCCTGTCGTAGGTGTCCGCGGGGTCAGACGCAGTGCGGCGCAACTTCTTGACCCCGACAGGCTGCATCAAGTTCTGGACAACCTCCTTGACTTCCAGGAAACGTACCGCCAACGGGTCCAGCGTGTTGTCGACGAACGCATCGAGGTCGAACGCACTCTCGGGAGGTGGGCCTCCAGGGAATACCGACTCGAAGGTGCTGTAGGCGATGGTAATGGCGTTCGACAGCGCATCCACTTCCTCAGCCACGGACCTTGTATACTTGGTGTCCAGCTGGCCACCCGGCGCCCAGGCCCCGAGGAGAAACATCATGTTCTTGCACTGGTTGGCCACCTTGTCTGCGCGGAGGTCGTCCCACCGACTGTCGGGCCCAGGCGGACCCCAACGGCGTTCCGCGCCAGGAGCCACAGGCACGGTGCTCTCGACATCAATCGTCGTTGGAAGCCGCGGTCCGAGCGAAGAGCTAGCACCTTCCTCCACGAAAGAATCACCCTGCTGCTCTAGCTCCAAGAGGTGCTCACGTTCGAGGTCAGACATGCTTCGTAGTATATACTTCTACTGCGTGGGAACGTGAGCCAACATGGCTATGGATGGCAATGGCAATGATGGTGATGTTGCTGCGTATGACCTCACCCTCGTCATCATCATGGTGATGATGGTGATGATGATGATGATGATGGTGATGATGATGATGCTGCTGCTGATGATGATGATGATGAACATCATCATCATCATCAGTTGTTACGCTCACTATCAGCATCACCGTCACCGTTAACATCATCACACTCCTGATCACAGCCGCCCATCATCTTTACCAGCCATAGGCGGAAATACGAGGAGGACAACATGAAGAGGTTTGAGGATGAGAGGGCTAAGGGTGAATGCGAAGGGCGAGGAGGGCGGATGGAAGGAGGAGGCCGAGGACGAGGATGGTTAGCGTGATGATCTTGGGGGGCGAAGTGTGTTCATCTTCGGAATTGCCCCTAGGAAGTCGAACCGTTGCTGGCTCCTCGGAGCCGAGCGCCCCAGCGTGTCAACGCACGCGTGCAATCAAAAGATGCCTGTGACGCCATGCCTACTGCCTCATTTTCTTTTTCGGACGCTGGTACTTGTTACGGAGCTCGTCCGTCCACGCAGTCGCTGCCGCCTGCGCTGCCTCCCTGACCTTCTGCGGCGACACGCCTGTTTTCTTCATCTGGGTGATCTGTTTGCCGTAGACCCTGCTGTGCTCGCGGTTGAGGAACTTGCGCCACTCATCGTCCGACATGCTCGCAGGGTCAGGCCGTGTCGCAGGGGCTGCTGCGCCGTCGGACCTCTGCTCCTGGGTTGCTGCGTCGACGGGTGCGACGTCGCCGATGGCCTCGGTGCCCTGCTCAGGAGGTGCGGCCGATGGACGCTTCTTCGCAGTAGCTGGCCTCCTCTTAGCAACCTTCGGCTCCTTACCCGCCTTCGCCTTCTCAACCGCCTCCTCCTTCTTTCTCTTCTGCAACTCCTTCCAATCCTCAGTGCCTGGCGGCGTGAGGGACTTCTCCAAGAGCTGCTTCACGCCCGTGTCGGCCAACGGCGACGCGGCTGGCAACAGCTCCTTGGTGTTGGCCTCCTTGGTGTCGGCCTCCTGCGTGCCGACGTCCTTGGTGTCGGGCTCCTTGGTGTCGGTGTCGGCCTCCGCGTCGAGCTTCTTGGCGTCGGCATCCGCGTCGGCCTGATGGTTCACCTGGACATGTGGTTGGAGAAGTGCGACCAAGTCAGCGTCGGTGCTCGTAAAGAGCTCCGAGCGATCCCAACTGTCGGCGATCCCCTCATCGTCACTGCTGCTGACGCTGACTGTGCTTTGCCCTGGCGCGCGTGTCGCTGTCGCTGGCCTCGGGGACGTTGGCGTGACCACGATCAAATCCATGGCGACGCTGAAGCTCTCCACGAACGCGGCTGGGATCCCGCGCCCCTTAGCCTTCTGTGAGGCCAGCTGGGACACCAATGCGCGCAAGCGGAATGCGCAAGCCTCCGCCTCGTTCTTCCTCACCTGCATCCCGTGCTGCTCGAAGTACGCCTCCACGCCCGCCGTGAAGGGCACCTGGAGTGCCTGCAAGCCGCCTGTGCGCTGCAGCATGCGCGAGACGGCCTTGGCCAAAGGCTTGGCCGCGGCCCAGTTCGGGCTTCGCCCGAACGTGAGCTTGTCGCACAAGACGAACTTGCCGTCTACGAACTGGGAGGCAGGCACAAGGGACATCACCTCCGCCACATCATCCTTCGACAAGGTGGCCCCCCGAGTGGCTGGCATGGCGCTCCAGGTCTTCTGGAGCCTCGAGCCCAAATGGGCTACGGATGTTGGCTCGCAGTTTCTGTTTTGTTTTCGTAGCGCCCCAAGATAGCTCAAATATCCCCCTAGGTCGGCCCAAGATGGTTTCAACACGTATGGGGGCGACCACCGACGACCCAAGATGCCTTCAAGAGAGCAGGCCGCCAGTCCCCACAACTGCTACCTCATACGTAGTCGCAGCTGACAACAGACTATGGCTCGCAAGGCTTCTTGTCTTGTTTGGTCCTCATCCACCTACAAAGGGGACAATAGGAAATCTATATTTTATGAGGGTTCTCGTCTGTGTTGCTGGATTGGGTCCTCGTTTATCTTCTGGGGTTCGGTGCCTCTTTAAGTCATTCAGTCCAGTCAGTCAGCCAGTCAGCCAGTCCAGTTAGTCAGTCAGTCCAGTTAGTCAGTCCAGTCAGTCCACTCGGTGATGCACCAATCAGTCAGTCCAGTCAGTCACTCTTGGATGCATGCTCAGTCAGTCAAGTCAGTCAGTCCAGTCAGTCCATCTGCCAGTCAGTCCAGTCCGTCGGCCAGCGAAGCCAGTCAGTCCAGTCAGCCAGTCCAGTCAATCAGTCCACTCGTTGATGCATCAACCAGTCAGTCCAGTCAGTCACCCTTGGAAGCCTACTCGCCCAGGCAGTCCAGTCAGTCAGCCCAGTCAGTCCAGCCAATACATCAGTCAGTCCAGTCAGTCACGCGTTTGATGATGTTGTGGATTTTGATTACGATGGATGTCTTTTTTCATCCCTGAACGCGCCCGCGACTCCGTCGGACAGTCTAATTCGTCGGGAGTGTGATCAGAAACGCTGGCATTTGTGGCCACGGGCCCGAAACCTGATGAGACCTGGTTGCAAGTGAGTCCCACCAGCCATCTGGGCGACAGGTGGTCTAGGGAGATTTCTCTTCCCTCTTCCAACAATCCCTTCTTCCCCTTCGGGGGGGGTGCTTACCCCTCCCCCCACCCCTCCCCTGGACCTGGACGGGGCGTTTCGCGGGGAGTTGGAGCGCCCAAGATGGCCTAAGATGGCTTCAAGAGGGCCTCCGAAGTTCCAAGTTGGCCTCCAAGATGGATCAATACGGCTGAAGAATGTCAAGGCAAGTTTCGACATGCCTCCAAGAGGCCGCAAGAGGGCCACAAGACAGTTCCAAGTGCTCTCGGAGACCCCTCAGGGCCTCCCCAAGAGCCCACATGTTTTTAACATCTGAGGGAATCGATGATGTTTGCCTTCTCTTCGCTTCCGATGCGCTTCTGAGGCCTCAAGATGGCCCCAATATGGCCCAATAGAGCTCCAGTAGGGGCCCAGGAAGCCCCCAAGACGGCCCCAAGATCGCCCAAGACCGCCCTAAGAGGAGCCCAAGAGCGCATCAAGATGCGGGCCCCAGGGGGGGGCGCCGATCGGAACTCACCCCTCTTTTGACCGATAGCCTCCAAGATGGCCCCAAGAGGCGTTCCAGGGCTCCCAAAAGAGTCCCAGGAGGGTCCCAAGAGCGCCCAAAGAGGCCCCAAGATGGCCCCAGAAGCCCCCAAGACGGCCCTAAGACGGCCCAACTATGGCTCAATATGGCTTCCAAGACGCCCAAGACGGCCTCCCAAGAGAGCCCGAGATGCCTCCAATATGTCTCCAAGGCGGCCCAAGATGCACCCAAGACGGCCCAAGATAGCCTTAGGATGGCCCACGACTGCCCAAGACGACCCCTGAGGGGCCTCCAAGGCGGCCCTTTGATAACGAGGAAGTCTCATGCGGGAGGATCGTGCCTGAAAGGGCTCAGCCGGGAGGTTCTTGTTTTCTCTGCACACCTGCACACCCCACGCAGTCCTTCCTTCCTCCCCTCTCCCTCCTTGTCTCTCACACGTTCTCATGATGATGATCAGCATCATCATAATCATCATCACTCCACACACCCACCCACTCATCATCATCATCATCATCATCATCATCATCATCATCATCATCATCATCATCATCATCAACACCGTCATCATCGCCATCGTCGCCATCACCATCTCACGCAGTTACGAAGCCATTCACACACTCTCGCGCACACACACACATTCACACATACGCACCTTGAGGAATGCGGGAGCCTCGTCTGTGAGAGCATTTCGAGGAAGTCTCAGGCGGGAGCCCCCTCCCTATGGGGCCGCCACCTCCCTGTTCGAATCCGAGTGGGGTCATCGGAAACTTGTAGTATCGTCATTTTTGGGTTTCTGGCCTGGAATATGGAAGAAGTCTCAGGCGGGAGGCGCCCGCTTAGGATGTTCAGGTTAAGACGGCTTCTTAAGCTTCGATGGATAGGGAGTGGCCATTTTGGGTGAATATAAAAAATGGCGCGGCAGCGTTTTTCAAAAAAAGACGCCGCAGGGCGTCGTTTTTCTTGAAGGCCCTTCAGGGCCAAGTCGGAAATGACGCCTTTAGGGCTCGGGGTTAGTATTTTCAAAGGAGAAATGTGTATCAGAATGGCTTTTTTTCGGCGCCGCCTCGGAACTCCATTTTCCGGGGGCGGCCGGAACCGGCTCCGGACCCGGCGCGGCCCGAGCGCCGGCCCGGGCGCCGGCTCGGGCGTGCAGCCCAGGCGCCGGCGGAAATGAGGCCAGCGCTGCAGCGGGAGCACGATTCGGAACGAGCGGGGCCCGAAAATGAGGCCGGCGCCTCAGCGAGGGAAGCATTTTGGAAAAAATGCAAGCGAAAACCCAATTGCGGGGGAACCTGTGTGTAAAAAAAGTACGCGGGGAGGGGTCGGCTACTCCCATTCCGTCATCAGGGGAAGAGGGAGAGTAGTATTCATATTGAGTAATTGTTGAGGCGAAGAGGGGCGGGGAGGGAGGAACGGAGGCGGCGGTGTGCGTGCCCGTGGTTGCTTGCGCGCGGTGTGCCGCCTGGAGCGCCCCCCGCGGGGCGGGGGTTGTGGAGGCACACTTTGTCGATGGCCTGGTCGTCGGCGACACGGTCAATTTCCACGTAGAGTTGAACGACAAGGGTTGGCCGCAGGCCATTTTTAGTTGTCATTGTTGCCTCCTTGCTCCTCCACCTCTCCGTATCCAGCTTCCTCTTACTTCTCGATTCTCGTCCCCCTTGTCAGTTTCATCGTCACCCTCCTCGTCATGGGCCAACATGCTGGCATCACTTGTGGGGACTACTGATACGTTGATACTCAAGTTGGGCTTGGGGAGACAGAGGGGCCCCGAGGAGGAGGAGGAGGAAGAGGAGGAAGAGGAGGAGGAGGAGGAACGGGAGATGGGGATGAGAAGCATGGTTCCACGACCCGCGCTCCACCGGGGCGCGCCGCGCAAACGGCAAACGCCCGGTTGGACGCAGGGAGCTGTGGGATGTTCAACCCTCCGCTCTTGCCGCTGCCAGTTCTCTCCGCCCCCTCCGTTTCCTCGTCACCCTCCTCGCTGTCAACCCCCACTCCCCACTCCACCCCCCAACCCCCTCATTCATCATCGTCGGAACCATTCCTACCCCCACCAGGGGCAGGGCAAGTTGGCTCTCCCAATCCCACCAAAACGAAGCCCGACGAAGACGGTACCCGACAGCCGAAACCCGGCTGGGGATGGGTGCTCCGAAACCCAGGGGGGGACCCGTCCCCACCTGGGGGGGGGGGGGGAGATTGCACAGCGGGGCCCAGGGTTCCCCGGTGGGTGTGGGGACTGTTTTGCTCGTCCAGAGAGCTCCTTAAGGAGCTCTCTGGACGAGCAAACCGCCTCTTCATGGCCAGGCGGGAGCTGCAGCGGGACTGGCCAGATCTGGCTGCGTGGCCCGCGCGCGAGGCCATCAGCCCGGTGCTGGCCGCCTGGTTCTCTGCCAGAGTGCAGGTGCGGCGTCCGAAAGAGCGCCACGCTCCACCTGAGCGTGTACTCTGCCGAGGCATCGAAGGTGATGGGCCTGTTTTCCACCACCACCACCATAAGTTGGAAGAGCTCCTTAAGGAGCCGAGGGGGCAGGCAATTGCCTGCCCCCTCGGCTCACGGACCGCAGTCTCCTCTTCGCATCCTCGGGCCCCGGCCTGCGCTCCTCTTTTGCGGCCCCCTCCGCGCGCCCTCCCACGTCCGAGCGCACGGGCGGACCCCCCCCCCCGAGCTTCGACGACGACTCTACCCTTACGTGTCGGGCACGTCCCTCTACAGGAGGGGAGCATTCGAAAACACTCCAGAAATAGTCCGGGGGCGATTTGTCCATCCCCTTTGGAATCTGTTTTTGCGCATGGTGTGACTCTGCTCTCATTTGTCCTCCGAAGCCCGCCTGCAGGAGGACATGTCCGACCCAACTCTGCCCCTCCTCGTTCCCTCGTCCCTACCGCCCCCCCTCCGCCCCGCCGCCGCCGCCGGCCCCAGGCACGGGCCCTCTGCAAGCAGGACGGGGGCCTGCAGCCCGCTGCGTGCCGCCGCCGCGCCCCCCCCTCCCCCTCGGGGAGCCGGGCGGGGAGCGCTGGGAGGTGGAACGGCGCACCCGGAGATCCGACGTTGCGAAACAAGCTGCAGCATCGCGACGCATCACGCCCATGAGCCCCGGGCCCCGTCGTCGTGCCGCGTGACTTTTTGCTCGTGCCGAAGCGAGCCGTGAGGGCCCCAGGGGCCCCGAGAAGGGGCGGCAGCGCCCGGCTCGAAAAAGTCGAGACGCCAGGATGACAGGGAGAGCCCGGAGGAAGAGGGGCGCATGGCCCCAAACATGCGACGTCCTGATTTCGGGCCCGACGAAAGGGGGGGATTGGGAAAGGGGGGGTTACGAAATTTGCTGCATGCAGCTGGTTCCGGCCTCACCGAGGGGCCCATTCCTCGATGCATAGCCGCCTCCGGCGCCGGGAGGCGCCGGGAAAATCAGCTAGCTGATTCTCAAACCCCCCCTTTGCTATCCCCCCCTTTCGCCCGACCCGATGATTGTTTCAGGACGGCGTCCCTGGAAGTCCAGACCCCTTCCCCAGGACCGGCTCTTCCTCCCGAGTCGTTTTCGACGGCCACGAGGTCCGGCGAGGGCTCCGCGAGGCCGAGCACGGCCCAAGCACCGCCCGTCTTGATCTGAGGTTTTGTACGACGCGATCCTGTCTGGGCAGCAGGAAGAGAACGCTGACGTCAGGGCGGCGTCTGCGGGGCCGCCTCTCAGCGTAGGGGGACACTCCCGACTTAAGCCTAACAGCGCTGTTAGGCTTAAGTCGGGAGTGTCCCCCTACAGGGGGATCCTCGACGAAAAATTAGAAAAGTACCCCAAACGTTTCCTAATACATACCAAAAAAAAGCAAACAAATACTCCAAGAATAGTCCCCAGACTATGCTTGAACAATGTTTTGATTTTTTTATTTTCTAAAAACAAAAAAAGCAAAAAACAAATCGTCGAAAATCCTTCTGTAGGGGGACAGGCCCGACTTAATGCTAGGCCCAGGGAGCCCCACTCCGTGGCCGGGGCCCACCGTGGCCACGGGTGCGCCGCCGCTCGCCGCTCCCTGCTGGAAGGAGAGCCCCCCGCGCGCCCCATGTCTGGACGCCCGACATGGGTACCGAAAGAATGGGCACAATGCCCAGCAGCAGTTCCTGTCCATTTTGAACGGGGCTCGCTGTCCGCGCCGCCGCGGCCTGTGTCCATTCGAGGCAGAAGGCCGCCTGCCAAACAGCGGCTGCTGCTGGTTTGGGTCAGCATTTGTTGTTGGGCATTGTACCCATTCTTTCGGTACCCATTTCGGGCGTCCAAACCATGGCCTTCCAGGAGGGCTAAAAAGATAGCATCCGGGTGCCTCGACATCTAAGTTCCTGCCGAGGTTCCCAGACATGGGGCGTCTCGACAAAAATCGAGACGTGGGTTCTTCTCGGTTTTCTGGCCTCTCGGGGCCCTCGCCGGGCCTCGGGACTGTCAAAAAACTACTCGGGATGAAAAACAGGTTCCGGGGGAGTGGTCGGGAGGTTGGGGGCCCGCGTCTCGAAAAATTCGAGACGTCGGACGTCTGGGTTTTAGACAACTCAGCTGGTGTATAGGTCTTGAGGGCTATTTTTTAGCACTCTGGAAGGTCAGTGTCGCCCTCCTCGTTCCTGAGGGGACCGAAGAATGACATAAACAGAAGAACTCGGAGGTCCGCGCGGGTTTCTCGGATCGGCGCTGGACCCCCCTTCCTGGCGCGCGGAGCGTGCCAGGGGCGGCGCCAGAGGCGCCGCCAGGGGGGGCCCAGCGCCGATCCGAGAAATCCGCGCGGACCTTTGACTTCTTCTGTTTATGTCATTCTTCGTTCCCCAATTCTTCTCCACTGCCTTCGGCTCTGCTCGCGCTCCTGCTCCTGGTCCTGCTGCCTCCTGCTGCCTCCATGTTTGCTCCCGCTCTGGGCCCCTGCTCCTGCTCGGCCTTGCTCCTGGTTGCCGGTCCTGGTCCTCCTGCTTCCCCATCCTCCTCCTCTTCCCCCTCCTCCTCCTCCTTCACTCCTCCTCCTCCCCTTCTCCTCCTCCTCCTCCTCCTCCCTCCTCCTCCTCCATCTCCTCCATCTCCTCTCCTCCTCCTCCTCCTCCTCCTCCTCCTCCTCCTCCTCTTTCCTCCTCCTCCTCCTCCTCCTTTTCCTCCTCTTCCTCCTTCCGTTGCAAGAGCCTGACGCCAGCTCTCCACCTCGATTTCGGAGCGAGGAGAAGCGACACCGCCACCACGTGGGGAGCAACCTCCGGCGAGGGTGTCCCAGACGCCTCCCCCTGCTGGAGATGGGACAGGCCTCGAGCGGGGGCTCCTCCTCCCCCTCCTCCTCGTCCTCTCCTCCTCCTCCTCCTCCTCCTCCTCCTCCTCCTCCTCCCTCCTCCCCTCCTCCCCTCCTCCTCCTCCTCCTCCTCATCCTCCTCCTCCTCCTCCTCCTCCTCCTTTTCCTCCTCCTCCTTTCCTCCTCCTCCTCCTTTTCCTCCTCCTCGCCCTTCCGTTGCAAGAGCCTGACGCCAGCTCTCCACCTCGATTTCGGAGCGAGGAGAAGCGACACCGCCACCACGTGGGGAGCGACCTCCGGCGAGGGTGTCCCAGACGCCTCCCCGAGCTGGAGATGGGACAGGCCTCGAGCGGGGACAGGTGCCCCGCACCACCCGGAGGACCCTCCCCGGCTCCTCGCGCTGGTGGTGGCGTGGGCCTTTCCTTGTTCCCCACGAGCCTGGCCAGGCCGCCCCCCTGCGACCGCCTGCCCGCAGGAGCCCCTGGAGGAGGCGGTGCCCACCAATTCCGCCGGGCTGCCGCTCCGGCCACAGGCCCGCCCTCGCCGCCGCCCGCGGGGCCGCTCTCCCTGCCCCGGGCGCGCTGGCCTGGAGGCGTCCCTGGCCCTGATGGTCTGGGGGGCGAGGGCCTGGCCCGGGTCCTCCTCGCCCCCCTCTGGGACGCTCCCCCCCCCCCAAAAAAATCGGGCCGGACGAAAGGGGGGGGATTGGGAAAGGGGGGGGTGCGAAATTTGCTGCATGCAGCTGGTTTGGAGCCCCACCGAGTGGCCCATTCCTCGATACATAGCCGCCTCCGGCGCCGGGAGGCGCTGGGAAAATCAGCAACGTGAGCTGCTTCTCACACACCCCCTTTGCTCATCCCCCCCTTTCGCCCGACCCGAAAAAAGTCCTCGCCGCCCCCCTTCCGGGGGCAGGGATTGGGGGGCAGCAGGCCTCGGGCCGCGAGGTAGGTCGATGCCAGACAGTCGGGGCGCTGAAGAAGGAACCCTCCTTTTCGTTTCGTTGGGGAGGGGTTCCGTGCTCCTTAATTGGTTTACACTGTGCCTTGGGTCTTCCTCCGGTTTTCCATGAGAAATCGAAGTTTAGCTTATGGGAAAAAGGGGCCTCGTTCCTTATTTAGGATTCCTTAGGTCAACGCCCGACTGTAGGCTCCCCAGGTTTCTGCATATCCCCTGGCCCCCCTCGTCCGCCCGCATGGCCCATGCCATGAGACATGGATGCCTCGCGGCCGCCACCGCCCACCTCCCCCCCTTCGTGCCCCCGGGACCTCGGAGGAGGCCAGGCGGTCTCCAGGGAACCCCCACGAGGCCCAGGATCACATCATCGGCGTCGTCATCATCTGCATCGCCGAGAGCCCAAAGCATCGTCATCATCGTTGCCATCATGTTCGAGGACATGGAAAGTTTGAAAACTCGAGGTGCCGTCATGCCCCCCCAGGGGCTGCAGAGAACCGCGACAAGTTGGGAACACACTGGACCAGAGACACCTCTGGCCACCCGCGAACTTGTCGTTTGGCAGAGTCTGGCAAGACGTGGTTGGACATGTATTCTGCGATCGTGTCGGGCCTGCGCTCCCTACGGCGATTGCGCTGGGTTCCAGTGATATTGATTGCATTCGGCGCTTCCGTGCTTGCACGCTTGCATGTTCGCATGATTTGTTGCTTGCATCCTTGCATTCTTGCGCGTTCGCATAACTGGAAGTTGGTGACTGGCACCGCGTCGCGCCATGCGCGCTGACGAAGCCGCTGGCATGGTCGCCGACCTTGTTGCGCACATGTCATTCCCATGATCGCGTGCGTTTGTGTGTGTGTGTGTGGCAGTTCAGGTTTTGGGTCGTTGTTACCCTCCAGGTCAGCCCCCACGTCAGTTGGCCGCGGCGCGGATTCCTGTCGTGCTTTCTCCATGCCAGTCACCGTGCAGAGTTTCCGGCGTATCACGTGTCACGATTGATTGTATTATGGTTGCAGTTCCGATGAGTTTTGTTTTGAGGTTGGCATGTGTGCGGCGTGGATATTCGCGTGGCGCCCAGATGGTCGCGGGATTGTGAGACCCTGTCGGACCCTGTGAAGACCGGCTGAGAGCGCCGCGGGGACTCGCCCAGAGTGCGTCTTGCTATAAATTTGCAGAGTTGGAGGCCGACCTGGGACCCGTCGACTAAAATCAGGGTGAGGGGGACAAGCGGTTTTATACAGTGTCCCTGAGTGCGTGGCCGAAGCGTGGATCCGCGTTCGGGCTCTTGTTGTTGACTATTCAATTTTGCAGAATTATGATTGTTGGTCCCCCCAGTGCCCATGTATGTTTGTTCAATCGAAGCTCCCCCCCGGGGCTCGCACCCTGTGTTCTATAAGAGAAGCACTTGGGCCGACTGTACAAGTGTACAACAACGATGGCTCCCGGCTGATACTTCTTCGCGATGTATTGAAAGTCGCGCTCTCGTTCGAGACGTCCTCGCACTTTCCACAGGAATCGCGCTCTGGTCTACAACTTCGCAATTTACTAAGGTGCTGCGCTTTCGACGTCCAGGAATCGCCTTCTCGCATAAGACCTCCTCGCAGTGTACCAGATTCGCTTCACTGCCCCGCCTACCCGACCTGCCCGTTAGGGCCCGTCTGCCCGACCCGCCGGCTAGGATCCGACCGACCGACCCACCTGTTAGGGTGTGCCCGTTTGCTTGCTTGGAAGCCCGTCCGCTCCAATGCCCCGCCCGACCCGCCCGTTAGGTTCCGCGCAGCCGACTCGCCCAATAGTCTCCACCCACCCAGCTTGCCCCGCGGCCTTCCCCCCATTAGGTGTGCTGCCGCTCCTGGCAACTGTGTTGTAGGAGCGGCCGTGGACACTGAGGCGTGCCCCATCAAATCGTCTACTGCCGCTAACTTTCTGTAAGGGGGGTGGTCGGCAGAACCCCTCTGCGCTGCATCTGTCCATGCCTGGAACTGTTTAGTGCGACCGTTCTGTTGTGATTCGATTGGTTTTCCAGGTGGTTCGCACTCGGGATGCCACCGAGGCACGACGGACTCGCTTGAGCACTAGACTCGAATGGGAGGTCTCCTATGCTTTGCTGGGTGCAAGAGGGGCTTTCCGCCGCCATTTCAGGGACCCATTGCCACGCCCGCCTCAGTCGCGCCTTCTGCCACCCGCCTTCTCCAGTGTACTGGGAAGTACCACGTTCCATCCCGATCCTTTCTTTCCAGCCTCCTCCTCCTCCCTCCTCCCCCTCCTCCCTCCTCCCTCCTCCTCCCTCCTCCTCCTCGTCGTCCTCCCCTCCTCCTCCTCCTCCTACCTCCTCCTCCTCCTCCTCCTCCTCCTTCTCCTCCCCTCCTACCTCCTCCTCCTCCTCCCCCTCCTCCTCCCTCCTCCTCCTCGTCGTCCTCCTCCTCCTCCTCGTACTCGTCCTTGTCCTCGTCGTCGCCCTCCTCCGGAGCGAGGTCGGCACCTGCTCCTACTACGCAGCGCACGGGAGGCGGGCGGGGGGGCGGGCGGCGGGAGCGGCCCCGAGCCTCGGGCCGCGGGGCCCCGTCTCGTCTGCGCCTGAAAACGGGCACGTTCCTCTTCCTCCCTCCCTCCTCCTCCTCCTCCTGCCTTCCCTCCTCCTCCTCCTCCTCCTCCTCCTCCTCCTCCTCCTCCTCCTCCTCCTCCTCCTCCTCCATCCTCCTCCCTTCCCTCCTCCTCCTCACTCCTCCTCCTCCTCCTCCCCCCCCCTCATCCTCCTCCTCCTCCTTCCTCCACCTCCTCCTCCCCCCCTCCTCCTCCTCCTCCTCCTCCTCCTCCTCCTCCCCCTCCTCCTCCTCCTCCCCTCCTCCTCCTCCTCCTCCTCCTACCTCCTCCTCCTCCTCCTCCTCCTCCTCCTCCCTCCTCCTCCTCCCTCCTCCTCCTCCTCCTCCTCCTCCTCCCCCCCCCCCCCCTCCCTCCCTCCACCTCCCCCCCTCCTCCCACCTCCTCCTCACGCCTGCTCCTCCTCCTCCTTCCTCCTCCTTTCCATACTCCTCCCACCATCTCCTCCCCTCCTCCCTCCCCCCTCCTCCTCCTCCTCCTCCTCCTCCTCCTCCTCCTCCTCCTCCGCCTCGTCGTCTGCGCCCGAAATCGGTCACGTCCCTCTACAAGAGGCGTGCGCAAGAGTTGCTCGAGAGAAAATCCCAGTCATCGGGCGTCGCGAAAAATCGAGACGCACGTGTTTCTAATCTGTTGGCTTCTCGGGGCCCTCGCCGGGCCTCGGGACTGTCAAAAAACGACGCGGGATGAAAAACGGGTCCCGCGGAAGTGGTCGGGAGGTCGGGGGCCCGTGTAATCACCGGACAGCTCGCCCCTTGGCCCCCCGCCAGCCCCACGCCAAGGGGCGAGCATATATACGGGCGCAGCACCTCGCTGGAGGCGTAGCCGTCGGCTGGGCCGACCATGCAGATGATGCCTCGCGTGGCGGCTGGATGCCCGCGCCGAGCACAGAGCTCTTCTCGGTTCCTCCCTCCTCTTCCTCCTCCTCCTCCTCTTCCACCACCTCCTCCTCCTCCTCCTTCGACTCCTCCACTTCCACCTCCTCCTCCCTTCTGCCGCCTCCTCATCCCGTCCGCGTCCTCCGCCCTCGAGCTGATCTCCCCCCCCCGTCGTCCATTTTCAATGAAATCCTCCTCCCGCCGCCTCTTGCCTTGTCCTCCGCCTCCGTCCTCCTCGTCGGCCTCCTCGTCCAGCGCCTTCCTCTTCCCCTTGCCACTCTCCTTGCGAGCACCCTTTCCACGATCTCCGTGCCCTCCTTCCACCCCTCCTCCTCCCTCGTCCTCCTTCCATCGCCTCATCCCCGCCGTCATAATCCTCATCGTCATCATCCTCATCCTCATCCTCATCCTCATCCTCATCATCATCATCATCATCATCATCGTCCTCCTCAGCATCAGCACCATGATCATCATGATCATCATCATCATCATCATCATCATCATCATCATCATCGTCATCATCATCATCATCATCATCATCATCATCCTGCTCCTCCTCCTCCTGCTCCTGCTCCTGCCCCCTCCTCTTCGTCGTGGGTGCCATCTCTGCTCAAACTGCACAAGCCGCCCCCGTGCGAGAGCCCTACCGCACTCTCCCGGTAGAAATTATGGTAGAAATGGCACCGGCCGTCGCCGCCACGATGATTGCGCAGCGTTTCCACCCTAGAAAGTGCTCACAGTTCCGCAGTGAAGTCAGGCAGTGACAATTGCTCAGCTGCTGTTTCGGCCAAGCCGCCGATCGTGTCCAGCACAGCTGCTTCGGGGGACCCCCGTTTCAGCAACAGCTCTGCAAGGACCGACTGAAAATGTCGAAGCGCATTGGCTTCGAGCGGTGGCCATTTCGCAGCTTCGTATTCTTTCCGTGCCAACAAAGACCGGCTCTGGTTGATCTTGGCCAACCGGTCGAAATTCAAGCCACGCTCCAAAGCAAGACCAGTCAAGGCAGGCACCCGAGACAAGACGGTAAACGTACCGCCCAGATGCATTTCCGTGTCGCCCAAGTTTGCAGCAACACAAGGAATTGTCATGCCCTGGGACTTGTGCATCGTGGCTTAAAACTGCCACCCGAGATATCCTCACCCGCTGGCTTAAAACTGCCACCGAAATATCCTCACCCGAGATATACTCACCCGCTGGCCTAAAACTGCCACCCGAGATATCCTCACCCGCTGGCTTAAAACTGCCACCGAAATATCCTCACCCGCTGGCTTAAAACTGCCACCGAAATATCCTCACCCGCTGGCTTAAAACTGTCCCCCCCCCCACCGGAGAATCCTCACCCGCTTGGCGTAAAGCTGCGCACGTGAAAAATATCCACCTCATCGTCCCGGGCTTTTCAAAAACTGCCACCCGAAATATCCTCACCCGATGGCTTAAAACAGCCACCAAAATATCCTCACCCGAGATATCCTCACCCGCTGGCTTAAAACTTCCACCGAAATATCCTCACCCGCTGGCTTAAAACTGCCACCCGAGATATCCGCACCCGCTGGCTTAAAACTGCCACCCGAGATATCCTCACCCGCTGGCTTAAACCTGCCACCCGAGATATCCTCACCCGCTGGCATAAAACTGCCACCCGAAATATCCTCATCCGAAATATCTTCACCCGCTGGCTTCAAACTGCCACGCGAGATATCCTCACCCGCTGGCGTAAAACTGCCACGCGAAATATCCTCACCCGAGATATGCTCACCCGCTGGCTTAAAACTGCCACCGAAATATCCTCACCCGAGATATGCTCACCCGCTGGCTTAAAACTGCCACCGAAACATCCTCACCCGCTGGCGCTTAAAACTGCCACCCGAAATATCCTCTCACCCGCTGGCTTAAAATTGCCACGCAAAATATCCTCACCCGCTGGCTTAAAACTGCCACCCGAAATATCCTCACCCGTTGGCTTAAAACTGCCACCAAAATATCCTCACCCGAGATATCCTTACCCGCTGGCTTAAAACTTCCACCGAAATATCCTCACCCGCTGGCAAAAACTGCCACCCGAGATATCCTCAACCCGCTGCTTAAAACTGCCACCCGCGATACCTCACCCCTGGCTAAACCTGGCCACCCGATATCCTCACCCGCTGCTTAAAACTGCCACCGAAATATCTCCATCCGAAAATATCTTCACCCGCTTGCTTAAAACGCACGCGAGATATCCTCACCCCTGGCGTAAAAACTGACCCCGAATACCTCACCTCCGCTTGCGTAAAACTGCCACCGAAATATTCCTCACCACCCGAGATTCCTCACTCCCGCTGGCTTAAAACTGCCATCAACAACATCCTCACCCGCTGGCGCTTAAAACTGCCACCGAAACATCCTCACCCGCTGGCGCTTAAAACTGCCACCGAAATATCCTCACCCGCTGGCTTAATTAAAACTGCCACCGAAATATGCTCACCAGCTGGCTTAAAACTGCCACCCGAAATATCCTCACCCGCGGACATAAAACTGCCACCCAAATATTCTCACCCGCTGGCTTAAAACTGCCACCCGAGATATCCTCACCCGCTGGCTTAAAACTGCCACCCTAGATATCCTCACCCGCTGGCTTAAACCTGCCACCCGAAATATCCTCACCCGCTGGCTTAAAACAGCCACCCGAAATATCCTCATCCGAAATATCTTCACCCGCTGGCTTAAAACTGCCACGCGAGATATCCTCACCCGCTGGCTAAAACCTGCCACCCGAAATATCCTCACCCGCTGGCGTAAAACTGCCACCGAAATATCCTCACCCGAGATATCCTCACCCGCTGGCTTAAAACTGCCACCGAAACATCCTCACCCGCTGGCGCTTAAAACTGCCACCGAAATATCCTCACCCGCTGGCATAAAACTGCCACCGAAATATGCTCACCAGCTGGCTTAAAACTGCCACCCGAAATATCCTCACCCGCGGAAATAAAACTGCCATCTAACGGCCTGGTGGTTCAGTTCAGTCTGTCAGTGTCTACCTCGCGAGAATCAAATTACGGGCTGCGCCCGTAAAAAATGGAGACGTCGGATGTCTGGGAACCCCAATAAGTGCATGGTTTGATGAGATCGATGGTGAGATCGAGAGAGTGACATGAATGGTGAGATCGATCATGATGCGATCGAAAACGAATCGTGGGATCGATAAAGAGGTCGATGAGGAGATCGACCGGGAACCTGGAAACCCGGGACCCACCGAAATCGGCCCGGAACCAATAACCAGGAACCCGGGAACCAGGGAACCCAGCTGGCCACAAAAATCTGCGGGAAACTTCGCCAAATTTTCCAATTTCCCTAGGACCCCTTCAGTGCAAGCAATGATTGGGAATGGCCCAAACATAGCACGGGGACGAGTTTTGCAATTGTTTTCGTTGTTGATTATGTTTGCGTGTGCGTGTTTCGTTGATCATGTGTCATAGTTCTTTCAAGAACCGCTTGTAGGAGAACATGCCCGACCGAATCCTCGTCCTGGATCTCAGGCCCGATGCGGCTGGGGGAGGCGAGGGCGGGGCTGCCCCTTCGGGGCCGTCGAGGAGGAGGGGAGGACCTACGCGTGAGGCAGAGGGGGGGATGCCATGGCCAGGGCGGCAAACCTTTGGGATTGGATTCCCCCCTCGTCCTCCTCCTCCTCCTTCTCCTCCTCCTGCTCCTGCTCCTCCTCCTGCTCCTCCTCCTCCTCCCTCCCCCAGCTCTATTTCCAGCACGTCCCCTTGCCCCCCTCCCCCCCTTGTCCGCGCACATGCCTGAGGCCGTGATGCGCACCGCCGCTCTTCCCTGTCCCCGGCTTCGGCGCACCCGATGGCCGGAGCAGTGCGCTGCCTGCGTCGAGCCAGTCCCCAGTCTTGGGCCTGGCCCGATGCGACATACGAGGGCGAGGTTCGTCCTCTTCCTCTCTCCCCTCCTCGTCGTCCGTTTCGTCCTCACCTCCTGCTGCTCGTCGATCCTCCTCCGACGTCTTCTCCTTCTTTCGCATGTCCTTCACCACATCTCGCATCACCTCCTCACGCTCTCCATCGCGCTCTGTGGCAAAACTGCAGGGGGCGGTGGATCTAGCACGTGGTGGGCCCGTTGAGAAGGCGAATCGTTTTGAGCTTAAAGGGGGGTAGCAGAGGGGAGCCACAGCGAGGCAGGACGGGACGCGATGAAGGAAACCATGGGGAAAAGTGAACGGAGGGATGGAGAGAGACAGCGGGACGGAGGAGGTAAGAGAGGGAGGGACATTGCTCAACATGGGGGGAAGGAGGAGGGATGCCTCGCAGCGCGGCGGGAGGTGCAGATTCGGCATGGGGTGCCGGTGGAATCACCCGGAACTGGAGGAGATGCAGACGCACCAGGGCCCGCAAGCGGTGACCCCACCGCCCCCGCAGCAGCTGGACTGGGTGTGCAGCAGGTGTGGGGACTACCAGTTCGCCCGCAACGTTGCCTGCCGCATCTGCGGCACGCCGCCAGTCTCCGCCGACGGGGCGCCAGTCTTCGTCGCGAAGAGGCCCATCGCCTGCAAGTTCCACCTTGCCGGATTCTGCAAGCTCGGCGAGACGTGCTCCTTCCAGCACCCGGCAGCCCAGCCAGGTGGCGCCGCCGAGGCGGCCGCGACGGAGCAAGGAAGGCCCGTGCCCACGGTCGTCAAGAGGTCGATCCCGTGCAGATTCTTCCTGCAGGGCTACTGCCGCCTTGGCACGGGCTGCGACTACCTGCACCCGCAGGGCGCCCATGGCGCCCCTGCCGTGGCCCAGGGCGTGCCGCCCGCGCAGAGCGTGCCGCAGGGCCCCGCGCAGACGCTGCCGCGCCTGCCCGTGGTCGTGACTGGGCCCGCTCACCGGGCAGCCCAGGTGCAGACTGTCATCCTGCAGCCCCGAGCGGCTGCGGCGGCGCCGCGCGGGGTGCACTGCCTCGGCGCCCCACCCGCGCAGTCGCCGCCGGTCGTCTTCGTGACGCCGCCTCCGCCGCCAGCGCCGCCGCCCGCCGCGCTGCCCCCCTGTGCGCCAGCCGCGCCGGCCCCGGCGCTTGCGGCCGGCGAGCCCCCCGCGGCTGCGGCGGCACCGCCGGCGGCCGTTGTAGCGCCCGCGCTCGGGTCCGCCGCGGCAGGCCCGCCCGCGGCGCCTCGGCAGGGGGCTCTGCACCCGTCGCAGCTGCAGCCGCAGCTGCCGGCGCAGAACGCCGCTAGTGGGGAGGCGCTCTGGAACCAGAAAAAGCCGCGCGGCCGAGGACGAGGGATGGGGGAGAGCGAGTGGCAGGAGGAGTACGAGCAGGGTGAGGAGCCTGTCCTGTTTCTGGTGAGGGGGCAGGACGACATGGTGGAGGTGGACGGACTTGCTGATGACGGGAGGGTGAGATCTGGATTCGCGGATAGTGGCCCACCGATCCACGGTGGCATTTCTTTTAATGGAGGATGACGATTATCAAATGACCAGGGGTCGTGTTCACGCGGCGGCCCCCGGGATGATGATTAGAGAAAACCGGCCGCAGGCTGGAAAACTATTTGTTAATCGTTCCCCATTTTGAACACGACATGTTTTCACCGTTCTCTTACAGTTAGAAAGTTGTGCAGAAATAACAGAAAACTAATGTTTTAATCGCTATCATGTTTTATTAATCGTTATACCGCAGTACGTCAGCTTTGTAATTCCTATCATCATTATTCGTAGTATCATAATAATCATTGCTCTACTACTCCTCCTCCTCCTCCTCCTCCTACTACTACTACTACTACTACTTCTACTACTACTACTACGACTACTACTACTACTACTACTACTACTACTACTACTACGACTACTACTACTACTACTACTACTACTACTA